GTTGACTGTGGAGCCAAGCAAACTGAAGCTGTGAACAATCTCAATCTCTTCACCAGCCATCCTGATGCTTCCAATTGGTCCATTGGTGAGAATCTTTGTCTTCTTGACATTGAGCCTCAATCCATATTGAAGGCTGCAGTCTTGCCCCTCTGCAGCCAAGCGCTTCAGGTCCTCCTCAGTTTCCGCAAGCAGGGTTGTATTTGCATAACGCAGATTATTGATAGATCTTCCACCAATCCTGATGCCACAATTCTCATAGAGCCCTGCCTCCCAGAGAATTTGTTCTGCATACAAGTTGAAAAGGTATGGAGACAGGACACATCCCTGGGGTACACCCTTCCCAATTTTGAACCATGCAGTGTTTCCTTGCTCTTTTCTGATGACTGCCTCTTGGTCCAAGTATAGGTTTCTCATTAGCACGATCAAGTGTTCTGGGATTCCCATTCTTCTCAGAGTCAGCCACAGTTTGTTATTGTCCGCACAGTCAAATGCCTTTGCATAATCAATGAAACACAGATAAACATTCCTCTGAACTCCCTGCTTTCAGCTAAGATCCATCTAACATTAGCTACAATATCCCTAGTACCCACAACCCCTTCTAAACCCAGCCTGGACTTCTGGCAGTTCTCTGCTGATGTGCTGTTCCAGTGTTTTTGAATAATCTTCAGTAGAATCTTGCTTCCATGTGAAATCAATGATACTGTTCTAAAGTTTCCACACTCTTTTGGGTCACCCTTCTTTGGAATGGGAACAAATAAAGGTCTCTCTAGTCAGTTGGTCAAGTCGTTGTTCTTCAGATTTCTTGGCACAATTTGGTGAGCACATCCAGTGCAGCATCTGTTAGTTGAAATATGTCAATTGGTATACCATCTATTCCTGGGGCCTTAATTTTTGCTGTTTCCTTCAAAGCACCTTGGACTTCTTCCTTCATCACCATAGGCTCTTGTTCATATAACGTTTCATTAAATTCTTCTGTATCTGCCAATTCCTTTCAATACAGTGACTCAGTATATTCTTTCCATCTTCTTTTAATACTTCTTGGATCATTTAATATTATGCCTAAAGCATCTTTGATTATAACAACTAGAGGTTTGAATTTGTTCTTCAGTTCCTTGAGCTTAAGAAATGTTGAGTGAATTTGGCCCTTTTGATTTTCTGACTACAGCTCCTTGCACATTTCATTGTAATATTTTGCCCTTTGGAATCTTCTGTTCAACTCTTTAGTATCTTGAATTCTACCTTGTGTTTTGGCTTCTCTGTGCTCCAGTGATATATTCAGAGTTTCTTCTAACATCCATTTTGGT